TCTCAGTTCCCAACTTCAGTCATCTTCCTCCTCCTCTCTGCCCTGGATGGTGAAGCAAGGTCTGACACAGCCAAGGCAGGCTCCCCTTTCCTACAGTGTCTTTTTTTTTGGCTGTTAAAGTCCTTATGGGACCTTTAGTCGCCGTAACATTAAAGTGTTCATTAGCATGGGAGTAATTCCATAATCTTTTCAGAAGAGAACAATTTCAGAGGTTCAGCTCATGATCTGGAAAATCAATTTGCCGACTTGCCGGTGCAGGAAGAGGATTTTTGAGGCTGGCTTTGGCTTCCCCAGCAGGACTGCTAGCAACCCTGGGACTTAGTAGCCAGGCCAGGAAGAAGCCACCCACAACAGCTCTGAGCAGAGGAGGGAGGACGCGGGGGCTGGTGCTCAGCGCAGGCAAGGAAGGGAGCTGGGCTTATGCTGCATCAAAGTGCAGGCTGAGCCTCCAAACCCAGACCTGCCTCACCAAGTTTTGTCCTGCATCACTGTGGGTCACAGGGGATTTTTCTGTTGTTTTCATCTTCCCCACCTCATTTCACCAAAAGCAATGCTCCCAGCTCAGAGGTTATTACAAGCAAGAAAGGGATGCGCCTTCAGCATCCTGCCTTTTCCCTGCAGGTACAGGTTGGATCAATTCCTGGTTTGAAACTAAACTCACACCCCACCTGTACCAAATACCAGGTCATGCGCTCTTACTCTCATCATGGGATTTTTCACATGCACTTTGAACTGCACGTCCAAAAGCTGGTGCCCCCACGCTACCTGCAGACAAGCAGACAGATTTGCAGAGATCATCTGCACACACAAGGCTGCCTTTTGGGGAGCACCCAGCACATGCAGGCTGGGGGGCTGCACCAGAGCCCGGCACGAAGAGGCGTGAAAGCTGGGCTTCCACCTCCAGCTCAGCTCCCTCAATCAATAGCTCTCAGGTGCCAATGACTTTCATTCAAAGATATTCCAGAATGTAAATGGGTGCAAATAGCATAGCTACCTTGTGGGACAGACCTCTCAGAACTGGCCAAGCTGGGCAGGAATG